ATGAAGCAATACAGTTAGCCAATATTGCTAATACTAAAAATATTACAGATAAACAAATCTCTTATATTATTAATAATGTTATTATTCCTACTATTGAGTATTATATTCAAAATATTGTTATCCCTCTCTCCACTTGCAACAAAATTCTTAGCAAATATCTAACTATTGCCAAACTCAAATCCCATATTTCCCAATATACTTCCAATAGCACTATGCTTAATTATAATCTTTATAATATCTATAGTCTATGGGATATACAACTTCAACATCATATTAGCAATTTTCTTAACTATAGCAAAAACCCTTCTACTCTTGGTTTAACAATCCAGATCAGACTACAACAACTTCAAAACAACTTATAATCTACTACTAGCATTCTTCATCACTCCAATCCTTTAATTGATAGCCCCAACAGACATACTACTACTTTTAAAATTATACAACTTTTCAAATTCCTAAACATCTCTATCTTTTCCAACCCTAACTTGTCTTGGCCTTAATTGCCTACTAGCAGCAATTCACCCTTTGAAAATATTCTTATTAGACACCCTAAATATCATATATTTAAACAGCAACTTTACTATAAAAATATTTTTTTCCTTGAACAACTATGTTCTGCTAACACCAATTCTTATTTGACTGGTCACACTTATTTCCCAGATTACTTCACATCTTTAAGAGAAAAAAAACCAGCTTGGTTTCTCTACCTCAAGAAGTCTATTTTATTCTATACATCTAACTGCACTATCATACCTTCTCTCCAACCTACTGGGCATAATCTATTTGCCTTCCAAACGAATCTTATAAGTAAATTCTCCAATCCATAGATACTGTTTGTGGCAAAACCGACGAAATCTGCAGCGCCAAATTCGACATTACGGGACCCAAAACCGTGATGAAAACCCTGAATTGGAGCCCACGAGATCGTTAAAGAAATCGTGAAGAATCAGTTTTGCCCCAAAAGCCCCCAAACAAAAATAAGCCTAGAACAGCCACAAGATGAAGAATTTGAAGGAAATCGCAAACAAATTGTCAAGAAATCATGGCCACATCGTGATAAGATTGTTTTCAAGATAGACCCAAGACTACGGTGTATTGAACTTCTCAGCTGTGGCGCACGAGAAGAACCATGGTATGACCAACTAGTGCAAAACAATGACCAAGCATCGCCCAAATTGGTTAAGTGATGCGGTGGCTCTGTCAGGCATAAATAAACAAAAAAGGTTACAAATCAGGTAAATTGTTTGGCTGTGTAAGTCAGATGTTTACATCCACATAGAAGGAATAGTGTATAATCAAAATCGCAACAAGATTAGTAATGATAACACGCTGAGACAAGGGGCGAGATTCATAATTCTTTTTTTCTTTCTTTTTTTTCTTTAGTACCGAATTTTTGTATAAATAGAGTAGTAGTTCGCTCCATTAGAAGGGCAGACCAGTTCAGAATAAAAAATAAAAATTCGAATTAGATCCAATAAAAGTTCGCTAAAGTCTTTTAACCTGAAAGTCTTTCATTTTTGTGTCGCACCTATAACAAATCAAACTCAAAAAGCCTTACCTTGCCAAATCTTAATGGCTCACCCTTGTTGGTTTTGTTATGTGGTTTTTTTTTTTAGTTTGTTCCTGCTGTATCTCGGTGGTGACTATCTAGACCTGTTCATTCTCTAGCCGTTGCCATCAACAATTTGGTGGTGACTGTGAGATTCGACATAACTGCCCTGACTTCACCAAAAAATATATATATATATAGCCATAGTCTTTCTTGGAACTGTATCCCTAATATATATTTCTTTTTTTTTATTTTCTTTTTTTTACATCCTGCCAACGATATGAATAGATAAGGCCAAGAGTGATGGTGATTACGAAAGTTGGACAACTACCATGGAACAACAAGGAGCCGAAGTAAATGTTTTTCCTAACAACGACAAAAATAGGATCGTTGATGTTGCCTCCCGGACGTAGAACACCCAGGCCATAACTCCCCCAATAGCGATCGTAGTCGCACTCCTGTTGATGACCCACTATTATATCGAAATATTAATAATGGCCAAAACAACCCCCGCCCCAGAACTGTTGTACACAATATTGCGAAAAATCGCAAATGCGTTTAGGAATGCTTCCGCTAGTGTCGTTGATGCCACCCGCCCTTCACTTCGAGTTCGAATTTAGTAAGGGTTGAACCCTTCTGTGAGAAAGAGGACGAGGACCCTCTAGAGTGGGTAGAAGCCTTTGAACGGGCCTCCAACACCAACAATTGGTCCCCTGAAAGTAAGGTAAAGATAGCCTCAGGCTACCTGTGTGGTGTTGCTGCAAGTTGGTACGATGATATGAGAAGGGCTTTGAGGTCCTGGGATAATCCCAATGATCGAGATAGAAGTTTTGTTCTCCATTTTCTACAATATTTTGCGACTTCGGAAAGACGCCACCAATGGCAGGATGACTTGAACTCCTTAACCCAACGAGACATCAAACGAGTCGACGCCTATACCTATAATTTTAAGAGGCTGTTGCGTTGGGTAGACCCTGAAAACCTCCTTCCTCAACCATATGTTGTGCGTATATTTTTGGGCGGTCTGAAGCCAAGGATCGCATCATGGTTAAGTGTGGCTGACCCCACGAAATCTCTATAAAGCAATAATTGGTGCCTGTAAAATTGAAGCCAGAGGATATTATAGCGAAAGAAACATAGCCCAAAACCAGAATGCTCGCTATAACGATGATTTGAACCACCTGACCCAGTAGATGCAAGTCATGTCAACGAACTATGAAAAACTCGTTTCTACCTTGGCAGCAAGGATAGAAGCAAATGAGGCAAGGCCCCGTTACAATAATAATTGTGGAGGGCAAAATAATACCCCGCGTATAATTTGCTATAACTGTGGTGAACCCGAACACATTTCTCGGGAGTGTATGTTCGAGAGAACTTCCGTGCGACCAATACCAAGGAACCTGCCTCCGAATCTACTACCTGTACCAACCCAGAACCAGAAAACTGACCCGAACAACCCGTTTGTACCACAACCCCAGAATGTGAATCTGTGTGACTTTGACGATTCCAGATATCAGACAGAGGAAGAAGATGCATTTGTGCTTTCTCTCTCCCGTCACCAACCCTATACGACGCAAAGGCCCTGCCAGAACCTAAAAAAATCAGAAAGTCGAGCAGAAGAAAGGTTGAGAACCAACCCACCTATAGCTACCGCCCCTATAGTGCCCCCGACAAACGTGATACTACTACTGATCCCCTTACAAGCCCCCGAAGTTCTCCCACCGCAACCCTGACGAAGGAGAGGCCCTTCGATTGTTGAACAGTTAGAACTATTAACGTGGCACAGGACATTTTGTTGGTAAAAGTCAATGCTACTATCAGACAACTGTTGCAATACCTGAACCAGCGCCGTAATTTAGCCAAGGTATTAAAAAGACCTCCCATAGTTGAACCCTTCCAACCCTTAGGTATGGAAACGAACATAGTGCAGCCCCCGAGTAACGGATGCACCACCACCACCCAGTGTTATATTCGAATAAGAAACAACCCCATTGTTGCCATATTGGATTCTGGTGCCGCTATGAGTTTGATGTCGAAACGAATGATGAAGAAATTAGGCTTAAAATTGATGAGCCATCCACCACTATCGTTGTAACTGCGAATGGCACGAGGGAATGAGCCCTTGGGAAAATCAATAACCTTAAGGTAGCAATCCGTGAAATGCTGATTCCCACCACGTTTCAAGTAATTGAATCCACTGACGACTTGTTGTTGTTGGGAATAGATTGGTTCGTAAAAGCGCGAGCCCAGTTGTATTTTGCGGAGAAAAGACTGTACCTTACGTATAGCAAAAAGACCAGTGAAGTACTGATTTCAACTGATGGAGGTCCTCCGATTGAGCCCTTAGTCCCCTCCCCAGAAAGTGAGAACACGTTCGATGAATTTGAATACGAAGACAAAGTCTTAGATGAAGCCAAAGGTTATTATATAGAAGAAGCGCCCGAAGATGAACTTTACAAAAATCTGTGGGAAGACTACCAAAACCCTGCTGCATGTCTTGTCAATATCGAAGAACTCCCGACCTATGAACCGGATCCCGAAGAAGAGCCCCTGGAAGAAAAACTGGAACGAAGCCTTGGTGACACCCCCTGGATCTCATAGGAAGACATTCATATGATTGGTCAATTTTTGTAGATCTACCCGTGAATTCCCGTGATAATTAGCCAATCAAA